CGTTTTCTCACCGTTTTACTTGACCGCTTTTTTTACGATAAGAAAACAGTCCGTTTACCGTACCGTTTTAAGACGTTTTTTGAAACTACAGTGGTGGCCAAAAGTCTCACCCACTTTTTTGTTTTGCTTATCGTATTAAAAATAAAGAACATTAATTTAATATAGTTATATGTGTGTATAGTGGAGGAGTCTCACAATACAGAGATAGACAATGCATGCATTCAGCGCTTAACTACTAGAAATATGAAGAACAAGAAATTTTTTTCAAAAACATGAATATGATGTATGATATGGTTATGCTAAATATTGATGTTGACTTGATTCACAGTAATCATGACAGACACTAATTCCACGTACAGTTCTACAGAGATGATAATAATTATTATTCTGTTATTTTAATATTACATAATATGAATTGAACATTATATTATTTCTATATTTTTACGTTTTTCCAAGTTTTTCAATTTTTTGATGTTATTACAAGCACCAGTCTTAGCACTGCGATGCTATCATGAACATCAAGGGCTCCTTTCTCAAACTAAATGTCTATCACTTGAACGTCCGAGAAACAGACTTTTCTGGATTTTTCCGAAAATAGCAGTGATCATTATATACTACTGGTCAAAGAAAAAGAAAAGGTGCTGATTGGATAAAAAAGGCGTAAAAACGGACAGTTAACGATGATACCCAAATATCGAACGGTTGCCTTTAACGGACTGGTTTATGTTTTTAGTTAACCACACGTTAATGTTTGACCCACGAAAGAGTTATATTTCTAATTTTCCACTATTTGCTAACACATATGAATACTTTTTTTTTGAAATAGTTGATGGATTACATACTCTTTCTTGTGTGTATTTCTAGAAACATTTTCCACCGCGCATAGATGAATTCTATTCGCGACGAAACATCACTTATGCAATCATCATCGTACTTCAAACCAATGAGTCTTGTCTTCCAAAGCTTTTCTCGCACAAATAGTTATATTACGTTCCAGTTTGCTGTTCCGCTAAGTTAGCTGTTGCTTTTTCCAATCAAGTCTTCTCATGATTGAATCTGTAAGCACTTGATGGGCAGTAACCTGGCTGCTATCATACTCCCTATGTTACTGGATTTGTACAGAGTACATATAGACTGATTTGACAACAATTGAGAAATTAAACGTTTTTGTTATCTCCCTACTATGCGCAGACAGATTAATAAAAAATATGAATATCACTTTCTGTTCGAATGATACATTTTCACAGAAGTCTTTGCTTTGAAATGCTCTTATCTAATGCAATTTCAGTTGTTGATAGTCAGAAGCAGGTAGGCGGGACTGAACGTATCATAAGACCTAGAAGATCTTTATTTTGGAGCGATTCTTTCTAACTCTTAGAAATAGACCGGAATTTACGTCTGAACTTTTGATCTAGGAAATAAAGTTGGATCTAAGGTTTGAAGTGAACTCTTAAACTTGATGCAAGTAATTCCAAATGAGCTGTTTTGATATTACTCATTATCTTGAAGGAAGAATACTCGAAATGAGGATTGTAATAAAGAAAAAGGCAGACGCGCTGAACTGAATCAGCAATAAAGTCTTGATTTTATGTGTTAGTACTTCATAGTTTTGCGCGAAATGGCACGCAAAATAATGAAGTTAAACCAAACAAGCTCGTGTTACGTTATGCTAAAAGTTTAGTTATTCCAGTGCATAAATTTCTAAAGTCACGATTTTACGTAGTATGAGTATTTTAGATTCAGTTTGTCATATAAACATTCAAATTTCCTGTCCAGGTCACATGTTCAAGTGCAGATCCACATTTAACGAAGTGGACAGGTCCCAACTATAGGTCAGATCTCAACAGCGGATCTAGAAATTTTCTTTGATACGTGCGACACACAATAAAAGTATGAGGTGCATCTAATCATCATAGAAACAAACTTTTCTGAGATAGGTCTGAGAAAAAAATAGCTTTTATGCTCGAAAGGTACATGCGGCCGCACGTAGTGTACAATGGCTGGATTCACCTCTGTTATATCTATTGGACTTGGCCTATTCATATATCTCAACCAGTAGCAGGAGAGAAATCGTCAAACCGAAATTATGTTCGTGCAACGAGAATTTTGCTAAGAAACTAGCATAAGTTACTTCTAACTGGCGAAAAAACTGCGATATGTCAATTTTGCCATTTGCGGCATCCCTGTACGAGAATTATGCTGCTTCGTGTAAGCCTTATGCACAATGTAGCACATATGATGATATTTTACAACTTTTTTCTCTATGTCAAGGAAATAAGGCATTTACAAGAGAAATATGCTCCTCATCGATACGAGTAATTCTCAGCATAAAGCAGTATAATTCTCGTGTAAAAGCATTATTCTCGTGACCTAGACAAAACGTTTTTTTTTCCTGTGTATTGTGATTCTCTATCTTTTCATATAAACTTTGTTGCCTAGGTCACGAGAATTATGCTGTTTTGTGTGAGAATTATACAAAATACCTTTATAGAAAGTTTGTATGAGGAGCTGCAAAGTTCTCGTGAAGAGAGCATAATATCTTGGTATAAACTTTATTTGAAAAAGAAAATTTTAATACAGATCGAAATCGCGATCCAATGGATCACATTGTATCAATTTGCAAAAGAATCTTAATGAGCGGATGAGTAGAAAAGGTAACAAAGAGACATACAAAAATGAGAGAAAAATTGGAGAGAGGAAGAAAAAGATTGATCGTCAGTTGCAGAGGAATATGATTAAGGAAGAGAATATGATAAGAGATGTTGAAGAGTAGAGTAGTGGTGGTGATCAGATGATCCTGCGGACAAAGACAGAGAGACGGCTTCTAATTAATTCGTACAGACATGAGATAGAAATGCATCAGCTTCGGAATCAAAATACAGCAAATCAGGTAAGACACATTAAAAACGTTTAGTATCCGAGATAAAATCACATATACAGTCATAAACAAAGAGAAATGTCTTATTATTTGAAATACCATTCAAGAGAATAGTATCTAAGTCTAGTTTGATGCCCGCATTATGGAATTTTGAGAATAAAATATTTCGTGCATGATTATAATGAGGGCATTTCAGGAAAAAGTGTTTCGTGTCCTCAACTACTTGAACGGAGGGTGATAAAAATAAGCAGTTTTCGCAAAGACTCTCGGAGACAAGTTTATGCTGCTTTAGATGATGGTTTAATGCAGAGAAATCGACTCTTAGTCGACAAAATAGCGCATCAATTCTCCGATTCAGCAGACAGGGTAATTTGTTTGCAGGAGGTAACAAGTGGTTTTTAACTTCTATGCGGAATTTATAAGGTTTTGATTTATTTTGAAAGTCAGGTCTTTGTGAAAGTAGTTCGGTCCATTCTTTAATAGCAGTTGGAAAGAAAGAAATCTGGAAGAAAACACTCTTGTCTCTATAATCATACAGTTGCTGGCTGCTGTTGTTTCTTAACGACTTAATATCTTGCCCTAGTCGTCAATTCTTATATAAGAATTGGACGGGAATCTGGTAAGGATCTTGCCAGCTTCTTGTCTGCTTTTCCTAAGAATCTTATCCGATTCTTATCAGATTCGTATATAAGAAGTGGCACGAAAGTTGCACGAATTTCGTAAGAATCAGATAAGAATCGAGTAAGAATCTTATAAGAATTTCATAAAAAAGTGATAAGAGTTCTTATTAGTTTCTTATTGAATTCTTATGAAATTCTTATAGCAAAAATTTTTTCTGATGTTCTGCGAGGGTTTCCTTAGCAATTTTGTTGAGTTTTAAGCAATAATGAACAAAAAAAGATTTTAGAAAAAAAACGGTCCGGTCCGTTCAGGGTTCGAACCTGGTCAGTTGTTCATGACAATAATCCATGGGCTCTCCTATTGAGATACTGCGGACACATTTGTATATAAACATCGCGTCTCTATATTCTGTTCAACATCTTTTTCAACTTCGAACTTGTGTTATAAGTGGTGCATATGGAAATGGTGTGTATCACGATGGAATATAATTTAGTGCGTCGAAATTTTAAGTTTATCATAGTAGATTCTAGACATGAAATTACGTTGTTAAAATTCTTTGGCTTAAGGAAAGTCTATGAAGAGAAAGTTATTTCTATGAAATCTTACTGAAACGATATGAATAGAGAATAATTCTTGCAAAAAACTTGTAACAATCTGATAAAGGATTCTTATCACTTTCTTATGAAATTCTTATAAGATTCTTACTCGATTCTTACGAAATTCGTGCAACTTTCGTGCCACTTCTTATATACGAATCCGATAAGAATCGGATAAGATCCTTATCAGAAATTTCAAAAAAAATTTGTCTAGGGTGTAGGTTCTGTCCGGAATTCTCACGGAAAACAACACAATTCTCGTGTAAAAGCATTATTCTCGTGACCTAGACAAGAAAGTTTCTATGAGGAAATGTAAAGTTCTCGTGAAGAGAGTAGAAAACAGCAAAATTCTCGTGTAAAAGCGTTATTCTCGTCACCTGGACAAGACAGTTTCTATGAAGAGAAACAAAATTCTCGTGGAGTAGTCATTTTTCTCGTTGGAGTAGCATAATAACGGTTTCTTGATTTTTCTCCCACCCCTCATCTCAACGGGATCTAACCGCCTCTGGTCAAAAGATAGATAACTCAGTCACAGATAACATTATTTCAAAGAAAAACTCTCTTAGCTCATTAGTATTATCAGTATAGTTTTCAAACCGTATAACAAGCGCTATTTTACTTTTCTTACGTCTTCTAACCCGACAACCACTCGCAACTATTATCCATTACTCGTTCAACCAAATGAATACATAGCAAGAACATCTCTAGTGTGTTATTTTACAATAACATGCCACTATAGTATAAATTGAACTCATTTTTTATTACAAAAATACATACTTTATTTCTCTATAATATCAACGAAAAATGTACAAATAAAAATACTTTTTATTACAAAAACACATACTTTATTTCTCTATAATATCAACGAAAAATGTACAAATAAAAATACTTTTTGTTTGATTTATTCACTTTATTAACTTAACACAACAACGCTCAAAATATTCAAATTGAAAACCTTTAATACGTGTTAAAAATCTTTGTTTTTTAAAATCATAAAATGATTTCAAGTCTATAAACGGTTTCATTTCTAAATAACATAATTCTTTCATATTATCTAAAATAAAATCAACTTGTTTTCTCTTAAAATAACCATTGCGCCAACTATTCTTATTTCGATCAAGAATTGATAATATTAATTTGCGAACATTAGAAAAATATTGACAAATTTTAGACAAATTAAAATTAAATTTTGATACCATTGTTAATTCTTGAATATTAAAAAAGATTGTTTCATTATTTGGAGCAATAGTCATAATGGAAAATAAATTGAACGATAGTTCCAATTTTGATGGAAAATAGTGTAAAAGTAGCAAGACTGCTAAATTATCATGCGATACTGTATTAAATTTTAACTTTTGAACATTTAATTTGTAATTTAAATTGAAAATATTATTACTGGTACATGTTACTAAATTCCTAGAAAGAAAGAGACACTTTCTCACTCAGAACTTTGAACAATTTTTTAGCTTAAAAGAGTGATCAGCTGTTAAATAACATGTCTAAATTATTTCATCTGCGATATGAACCATGTTTAAAGTATAACTTTCACTGGAAAAACGTCGTGTACAATGACAATCTTACCCGCCATCATTATCATCCGCAATATTTACTTGTAAATCGATTACATTTGGAAATAATAAATTAATAGTGTTCAATAAGCTTTCAGCAGATGGTAATGACGTTGACAATATAATTTTAATATTTGTCACTTGTTTCCATAAATATTTTTCATTTGTTTCGATATTAGTTTGACGTTGAAGAAATTTATTTGACAATTCAATATTTGAGAATGAATATGGTAATGAGTATATGACATAGTAATTATTTTCTACTAAATGACAGCCAACTATTAATTTCTTATCGAGAAAATAATTTGTTTTAAATAAATTTATTATTGTATCTATTGTTGTTGATTCATCATTTGTGCCAAATGTAATTAAAAATTCTAATTTTTCTAATTTTGACATTGCTAACAATGCATAATATTGTTCAACTGGCAGATAAAAACATGGAGAACGACAATAATGGAGTAACAAAGATAATCTTGTTAAATGTTGTAGATTTTCTAGTAATAATCGTAACATTTCTATAAATAAGAAAAAAATTTTTATTTTACAGTTGTATAATGAAACAATTTTTCTAGCAACCTTACCGTCATACACTAAATTCTCAATATGTAAATGAAAGGTATTTAAATTTGGTAATTTTTTTTTCATATCTTGACACTTTTGTTCAAGTCGAATGTTATCCCAACCATCATCAAATGTTTTTAATTGTGTATTTAAATATTGAACACATGGTATTAAATCGAATAAATGAAAAAGTTCTGTAACAGTTAATAAACAAATTGTTAAATGTGTTATTGTTGTTGTAACAAGAAATTTGAAATATACATTTTTTATTGATAACTGTTTTAATTGTTGATTATTTAATAGAATTTGATTTAGTGGAATCAAAAGTGAGTGCGATGGAATATTTGAAACAGATAACGATGTCAAATTTGGATGAAAACCAAGTGGAATCAATGTTAACATATTCAGTTGTTGACATGATGCTTTCTCACCACCGATTTTAAGTTGGCGTACATTCTTATGAAAATTTCCAGCAATTTGTGAATAATAATAATGATATATGCTGTAAGAGACATTTGTTAAATCGATCGTCCATGTATATGGTAAAATAAATTGTTGAAAACGTTGATTTAGATTATAAAATGCACAAAAGATAAAGATAGAGTCTAAATAATCAAATATTTCGTATATAATCTCATTGGCTAAACACTCAAATCTGGTGAACATATCTAAAATAAAACAATAGATTCTATAATTAGTAGAGAGAGCTAAATACGACAGACAAAACATGAATTAAATCTTTTGAATCTTAACTTTAGTTGAGATTAAAAAATTTATGTATTTTCTATAAGTTCTCCACTTTGAACTTCATTAACTGACACGATCTTTTAAATAATTTAAACATCAGTTTATCAGTGCAAGAAGATTCAAAGGACAATAAAAGAGTATGCGACAATTTCTGATCAATTGATGTCAAGATAAGCTAAAATGACAATGATGCCACCTTTTACATCCGAAAAGCTGACGGTGTTGACATCATTGTCGTTTTAGCTTAGATATTGATCGATCAACCATCAAGACAAAAGTGTAAATCAGTGGACAAATACGATTGATATATTAAATAGTGATGAAATTGGAAAAGTATAAACGACAAGTTGATAATAAATGCGTACTTTAATGTTTCATGAAAATAAAACATTACCTAACATTGATGAACTTATGGTTTGATTTTCGTTACTCATAAAACACAGTACTTTTGATCCCTGTTATCAACAGCATAAAATATTGGAAAATTTTGATTAATCATCAGATACATGATTGTAGATATTTTTCATAGAATCACGGATTTTTAGGTAGATTAATTATCTCAAATGTTAAGAAAATTGCAATGTGGTATATATACGTTAAAGTGAAAAGAAGAAAAGAGACTGACGAAATTGTATTCTTTTTCACTATCGTTGTTGTTGAATAGATCTTTTTCATTGTCAGACGAATAGTCTGATTCAGCCGATGAGATGAAATGAAATGACGACGAGATAAATTGTCGAGGATCAAATGGTATAAGATAACGTCTTTAGATTGTATAAAACTAATTTTCTGTAACAAAATGCACTGAGACGAATTGCCTAAAACATAAAAAATGAGGAGGAGCTGATCAAGAAGGCAGGCATGAACGAGTCCGAGGAGTACCGAGTCCGAGCCAAGTGCGAGTCCTTGACACTAAGGACCGAGTCCATTTCGAGTTCGGTAATTTTTTAGATTCTTTCTTTGATGGGCGTGGTTTATTTCTCTTTTATAATTTACTGAGCCCTGGATAGATATTTGATTTGTCGAATATAAGATTACTTTGCATGTCTATTTCCTGAACAAAATTTTCAATTTCTTGTGAAACAGAAGGTGTCATTATTTCGCTTTTCATTTTTCTCTGCTCATTTGTGTTGAAAGTTGAATAGATCGGACTCGAAATATAAAAACTCAAGTCCAAGTTCGAGTCCTTTAAAAAAATCTCCAGTCCGAGTCCAAGTCCGAGTCCGCCAAAAAATCTTCCAGTCCGGACTCGGACTCGCCCATGCCTGCAAGAAGGGTTGTCGAAGGCAAAATCTAAAACTCTTTACTATAAGCACTAACAAACAACATTGCTTCTAAGAATATCATATTAATTAAATTTTATAGTTGATCCTCGTCGTTCGATTTTTATTAAAAAATATGATACATTTGAAATGCCGGGATTTTTAATTGATTCTTTACAGATTAGTGCATCTTAAACGATTTTAGCTAAAGCAACTATGAATCTACTTCTGACGGCACTAGTGAATGTATAATCGTTAACGAGGAACACATTAGAAATTATTCACTAATGTTTGTACACACTGAATAAATCGACAACAAGAACACCAACTCGATCACTTTTGATTTCCAATCAATTGGCATGCACTAACCAACTTGAATTAGCTCATTCATTAAGTAACAGCGCTTCACGGTAATCATTGACCATCAAATATAAGGTAAATCTCTTTCAATAGCTTTAGCAGCTGCTATTTTAACTCATCAGACACATTTTTTGATTGAAATCGAGCTGAAACACTCCTTTGCCCTATATATATATAACAGATGAAGAAGTTAATCAAATTGATTTATTGTCTTGTTTGATACTTATAATTATTTCCACTCAACATGTAATGATCGATTAACTTATTTTCAATTTTATCTTCAATCTTGGTAACCGTTTATCTAGTTGATCATGCTTTTCGCCGCCAGTCATTATTATATATTTAACAACTGGAACACCGTCGACAATCATAGCAATTGTGAGAGAATTAACACAAAAAGAGTTATAATGATAGTAAAATAATCTGTTTGTTATTAGGAAATATTTTTGTAAATTTCTATTCTATTTTCAAAGAATTGAGATTCAGAGAAATTTGAGAATTATCCAAGAACGTCTAATTATATGATAAAATTGAAAATAAAGACGACAACATGTAGTACATGTTCGACAGAATGAGTACAACGAATGCTTAGAATAGCAGAAGTTGAAAGCTGTTCTTGGGAAAATGAATAAGTGAGAATTTTATGTTTTAGAAAATGACTCGAGTCAGATTTTCATGCACCGTGGATTCGGACTGTGACTCGAAGCCCTTTGTCTCGGACTCGAAAAGTGAAGGCTCGCCCATCTGTAGTTATAGACAAATTAAGATTCACTCTTACACAACTTTAGTTAAATGGTGAGAACCAGAAATCATCCCTGGCCGGGAGGGGGTCATTCTAGCCCGACCCGCAGGGTAGCCCGTAGAATCTAAATTAGTATGAAAACATAGGAGATATTAAAAGCGCTGGATTTTGGTCATATATCAGTAGATATAGGCTTATAGGAACATGAAATCAGTTAGTCTCATTGTATTTTCTTTTAGTTTGTCGTGTTATGTTTTAGATATACAGGTGTTAGTTACTGTTTTATTATTGAGTATCTCGAAGTCTGTTTGAATAGATCTATGGATTTAAATATTTCAAGAAATTAAAAAGCCAAATATATGGTTTTGTAGAGAATTTTATGGCACATCTTTTGACTTTCTTATTTTTATTTATTTGTTGTTACTTAACGAGAAAAAGTGGAATTATGAAGTTTTAGTCAATTTTGTTACGGAGTCATTATGGAATTGTTTTCTTCTTAGCTGTTAAGAAATAAGATTTGCGGGCTTCTCGTTTTGCGGGACTTTGTTTGTCAGCCAATTAGCTTTAATATATGTCTAAAATAAAAGTTTCCAACATAACTTTGTGGATGGAGGAAAAGTATTTTCTATAGTACAAGGTGATACATAACCTTTTGCTAGGGGGTACAGCTTCAACGACAAATGATATAAAAATGAATTACATACCAAATAAAAGCTCATCGAAAACTGGTATAACTGGTAATCCATAGGTTGATTATGAGCTATAGAATTATGGAAGTTTCTATCCGGTGCGTCAGTTCTGGGTATGATGCTACTTTCAGTAAAAGTCCTATAACTTCATCAGAACAAAAGCTTTTTCCATCGGGTTTATTTTGCTTTGACCAGAAATGATTGCTCTTCACCACCTAACTATAAAATCAAAACGTCGATCGCGTTTTCCGTTTTTTGCTTGGGCACGTTGTTGAAAACCGGGAGAAATGTTTGAAACATCGTTCTCCAGCACACCATCTACTGTAAAACCCTTTTTTAGAGACCACAAGAAAGAGCATGTTCAAATGTACAATAAGAACCGAGTGCTCACTTTTGCTACACTTTTTACGGAAATGATAGCAGAAGGAAAAAGTTCTAGTCAAAAAACATATCAAATTTAGGAAGTTTTCAGTTTTTCCGCCTTTCATATAATTTACATAGTTCTCTTGATTGAAGGTTTAAAACTAAAGTTTGAGTATGGTTTTATAGAGTATTTCGTGGCGCATCTTTTGAAAGAAACACTAATCTTAGGATCATAAAAGAACACGAGAAAAATAGAAAATATCATTCGTTATGACGCTCCAGATAGAAACTTCCATAATTCTATAGCTCATAATCAACCTATGGGTTACCAGTTATACCCGTTAATCCCGTTTTCGATGAGCTTTTATTTGGTATGTAATTCATTTTTATATCATTTGTCGTTGGAGCTGTATCCCCTAGCAAAAGATTATGTATCACCCCGTACAAATAAAGTCCCGAAATAGATAAACCTTACTTCTTAATAGCTAAGAAGAAAACAATTCCATAATGACTCCGTAACAAAATTGACTAAAACTTCATAATTCTACTTTTTCTCGTTAAGTAACAATAAATAAATAAAAATAAGAAAGTCAAAAGATGCGCCATAAAATTCTCCACAAAACCACATATTTGGCTTTTTGATTCCTCGAAATATTTAAATTTGGCAGGGTCCTTTCACCCAGACCGTAATATTGTCAGTTATTACAATGGAAAATGTCGATTACGCAGCGAAATACGGAAACACACATATTAAATCATGATGCATAGTGTGGATAGCATACTATGTGCAAGAAAAGATCAGTTTTGCTTTGATTACTGTAATAGCTACTGATGTATTAGATTGTGTTGCTGTAGTTGATTTGAAAAAAGAAGAGTTTCGTCCATAGATGAATTTTTACAGAATTTCAATACAAATATAGACAGCCATCTTTCTCTTTAAGATTTGTTGTATTGTCGATTAAATTACACTAAAATATTTAAAATAGTGTTTGAGAAAAACTATTGAATATTTTTTATCATCGATATTATATAGGAGATAGCAAACAATGTTTTTGGTTTATTTGTTTAGGGTTGCATTCGATGACTCTATTACATGGTTATATATATACAAAAGTCTCAATAACAGTTCAAAATACAATCAAACAGATATTTATGATATTTCATACTATTAGGAAATTTTATCGACGTTTCACGCGTGAGGGATTGTGAAATGTCAGCTTGGACTTTCACGGAATTTTGTAGGTAAAGAGAGTAAGCATCACAACGTTGGGGTTGTGTTGTTGCAACATCACACGTGCGTGTAAACACGTGCAGATGCTTCATAAAAATTTAGCGGAAAAATCTACGCCCGTGTACATAAGTAAACAATCTTCATGCGTGAAACAATCGTGGCTTTCCAGGTATATATTTCCTGAAACGACGGATATCGGTTTCTGCTAGAAACTTGCCCAATATGATTGATCCGGATCTTCTTGAAAAAATTATTTCTTACCAGTTTTCGTCACCAGTTCAAGGAAGGTTATTCACTTTGTTTCTCAAATTTTTCGTACAATCTGGAAGACTTTGACCAAAGCCCATACATAGAAAGATAGAGAATTTTCCGCGCTTCAAAACGAGCGATTGATAAGCTTCTCAAACATATGCGCACCTAGAACAATTGTCAAAATACTAAACAGATGTCATGATTTCCATCCATCCTAACACCTTAAAGGAATACTTCTTTGATGCTTCTACTCAGATAGACAATTCTAGAAAGATATTCTTCAGGCTTCAAAATGAGCTAAAATAAGTAAGTCTTTCAAAAATATACCCAGGTGGGTCAATCGTCGAAATACTTGGCGGATATAATGATTTTCACCAGGTGAAAATCATTATATCTGCCAAGTATTTCAACTCAGTCGCTATGATTTAACAGAGCCAGATTTTTGATTTTTCTCTTAGTTTTCGAGAAAAATTAGCAAAGTGTCTTTCCAACTTTTAATCTCTCTGATTCGAAAGATTAACCCTCTGTAAAAAATGGCAAAAAAAAAATTTAAAAAATCCGACTCTGTCACTCGTAGTCATAGATGTTCTCGTTATCACTTTAAGACCAACCCTAGCTTTTTAGCACTGGAAATAGAGGAGAAACCTGGATGAATGTCACCTGCTTTTTGACTGCAATTTTTAAGTTAACTCTCAGGGTCAAGACTAATTGGAGTATGGAATAACATTTAAAGTAATTCTATTGTATAAGACGAAACAGTTATTAAACAACAGCTGGCCTCTTGTGAAGCATAACAGTCTTAACACTTAACAGTACGAATATTATTTCTAATAACTAAATGTCGTTTAGCCACGTTTTGTTTAATAACAGGTTTGTTTTGTACAACAGAATAATCACAATAGAATATTTATTTTGAAAAAAAATTTCTCATCATCTATTAATATTGTTTTTCTTTAATTCCATTTCAATTCTGCTGCCACTACTTTTATTTTCTCAATTTGTTTTCTCATGAATACGAATAACTATTTGAGCATAACGAAAAAGTAAACAGTAGGATTGTTCACAATGTTGTCATCAAGATTGTTCATAGGAAATATATATGTCTAGTTTTCACTCTATTGTAGTCTTACCTTTAAATAGTGCATAAATATTAAAGCTTACGCTTTTTATCTCTGATATCTTTTTCAACGAGACCCAAAAAAACAACAGAAAAGTTTTTAAATATAACTAAAAAAAAACGTCTATATTCTATACGTTTCACTTTTCATTCCTATCCTGAAAAACAACACAGCAATGCATTCTACTGTCAAACAGATAATTAAAAAGAAAAGCAATTTAACCAAAAAATGAAAGCGTTTTAAACGCACCCAAAACAAACGTTGCAGATCAAAATACAATAAAAAATAAACAGAACAAGAGAAAAACACTGGGGTTAATCGTGGAACTTTATACAATCGATCCAAACATTCTAACTAACAATAAGAAATATCGAAATATAGTCCATCGACTCTCACGGGTATATTTAATTCGTTTCTATTTTTAAACGACGATTATTGTCAAAACTTATTTGATTACTAAGAACGGCAAACACAAAATTCAAAAACATAAAAATAAATAAAGAAACTCGTCTACTCACTATATGAGAAACAAAATAGAGAAAACAATCCGTCTATTCGAAGATTTTTTAACAACATTATGTATATAACTTAACTGTTGTTCTTTTTTTTAAAAGAAAAATGAAAGACATTCATACATACACATACAGCATTTTTCTTACATTTCATAACTTATACAAAATATTTCCTACAAAATATATCACCGGCAAATTTGCTTTTCTCTATAGAAAAGAAAAAAAAGCTTATACATATTCATAAAGACCTGGAAAAATAAAATAAAAACTATCCAACGTTTGATCCGATCTTGACTAGGTGTTCACCACAATATCACACAAACACACTGCGTGCAAGAACACAAGAGAAAGAGAAAGTTGATTGTATAAAAGAATGAACAAGAGAACATTTTTATTATTTGATAACGTTCATGTGATTTTCTTTTGCTAAATGATAATTATTATTATTGTTGTTGTTTGTACAAAATGATTGATTCTCCAATACAGTATGCTCATTATATTCACTGCAATTCTGATTTGTTAAACAACTTTGATGATGAGGATGATAATTTGATCTTGAATTGTTGAATGAAACACATTCTTGTTGCTTTATTGGATGGAATGAAAACTTTGGTAGTAAGTCAAACCAAAATGTCGACTGATATTGTGACGATATATACATAGGTGGTGGAAGTACAGTAGCGGAAACAACACTTTTTTGATCTACTGGGCTTGTTAATGATGATAAAAGTTCTTGTTTTGACTTCTTTTTTGAAAGATCAACATCAGTGTTATTTGTTATGTCATTTTCCGAACGACAACGTTTCATAACTGTTTCATTTAATGAAGTTGGTAATGGAGTTATTGACATTGAACGATTCGATGGTGATGTACTTACATCACTTATTGCTTCTTTCACAACTAAAGTAGCTAAATAATGCTTTATTTATTTCATATAAATTTTATACATACAAGAACTAATTACCTGCTGTTTGAGTCTCTTGACTTGTTCCCTGATTATCATCACTGACATCGATCTCAGTATCAGAATCATTTTCATCCTCGGTTATTTGATGAGACGAACCTGCTTTTGTTGACTGTTGTTTTTCTGGTGTCGATTCTTCTATAACTGTTGATGATACAGACGATGGTGGTAGTGCTGTAGTGGAGGATGAACGTGATGGTTCATTGGGTGGTGCTGATTTAAAATCTCGAGTATTATCATTGGAATGTGTATACGATGATGAATGAAGTGGTGATGATGAATAAGATCGATTTGCTTGAAGCATTTTTCGTTGAGGATAAGACGATCCGTGCTGATAGTTTGACGAGAGCGGCACAAATGCACTTGCATACGGTGTGGACGATGGAAAGGAATGGTCATTGACTAGTAATTGTGGCTTTTGTAATGAATAGGAACGTGAGAATAATGGATGTGAGAGACGAGGTGATGGCATTTGTGGAACGAGTGCACTCGATGGATCAAATTGATGTTGTGCGTGGGGATAACGCATTAAATTCAACGGTATTGTGTTAAATAATGAATGTGATCTATTTATTCCTTGATAATAATCAGTCATATTCAGAAACGGTGATATATTATGTAATGGATGATGTGAATGATGTGATGATTGAGTATGATGTAAATTGTTGCTAAAACGTTGTAAATGTGGTTCTCTCATTTGCGACAAATGTTTTGAACAATAGCCATGTCGTTGTGATTCTTTTTGACAGTTTTCCACGCCGCACAAACGTCTCCATTGTTTTCCATTAAATTTCTTACGTATGCCACTTGACATTTCAAATATATCGCCTTTTTGATAATTTTGTTGCTTTGAATGTTGTTGTTGTTGAAGTTCTCGTGAATCACCACTTGATGAATCATCTTCAATTAATAATGGAGGCGTTGGAAATGATGATTTTAAATAATCATTTGGTGTTGTTGGTGTTGATGGTACAGCACAAGATGCAAGAGATGATGTAGTAGACGAAGATGAAGAGGATATTGAACGTACACCAATTGTTGATTCAATAGAAGAACTAGCCTAGAAAATCCCGAAACAGTTGAAAATCTACCATTTCAATGATTCAAACATAAAAACTACTTTATTTCAGTCTTATAGATCACAGATTTTTCATAATAAATGGCAAATAACAGTCATATGCAAGTACTATCTCGTTTGTATGATGGTATGAATACAGGTAGTCAGGTTCAGGTTACTATGTCACCATTGAAACAAATTTTTCACAGTTACTTTGTCATATTAATATAACGACATTGATGTATCTCTTTACTTATCTAATTAGTATAAAAAAAGAGCAAAATAAGTATGTAATGCCCAAGTACTAGAGCTAAACGTGATCTTGACGTCTAATTATGTATCGATAGAAAATAGCAGAACCAGAACTAATGAATATTGATGATCCTACCATCTTCATGTGTGAAATACACATTTTACCTATTAATACTAGCTAAATGTATGAATTACGAACAGAATTATTGACAGAATTTTTGGCCAATAACAAATATACATTCACAAACTTCTATTCATTAGCTGATTATCGTGCTACGCTCTTCTAATGTCAACATGGGCTGAGATAGGTAATTACCTTTACAAGATTCTGTTTTTTATTTAACTTACCCCGTCATTCGGTAAATCTTGATTTGATTGTATTGTTTTGCTCAATTTTTCTTCTGATTCATCGTCATCGTTGTTAATATTAATTTTTTCTTCTTCTTCTATTTCATTATCAACAGATGTTACTACGTCTGCTACTGTATTTGCTCTAAATAATCTTAATTCTTCATGCCACGGTTCAATTAATAGTCGAATATTTTGTCGTGTGAACCATCGTTGCTGTTGTTCATTTCCGTCAATAAATTTCACTGAAAATTCTAGACGTGTTGGATGTTTCTCTTTAATGATACCACATACAAAATCAGAATTTGTTGGATGAATTCTTACGCATACTGATGTATTTAGTTTTAAATCGCTACAAGCCGGAATATTATCTAGAATGACTGTTGGTGTTGGGGATAAACTTTGTTCAAAATTACAATATAATTTCATCTCTAATTTGTTATTAATTGGTTTTTTTAGTTCAATATCGATCATTGAATAATTAATGTCAATTATCGTTGACATGTGATAATGATGGTCACAAAGAATTAACACACTTTGATGTTTCCATTGAGATGGATCTAGATAAAAATGACTGTTTTTGGAAGGTGTTTTATCATCGTTGTTCTGCAAGACTAATGGAGATGATGATTGTGTTAATTGCCAGCGTTTTTTAGGGGGTTTTTCGTTTTTATTGCATGGAACGAATGATGGTGATGAACAAGCAGGTGTTGAAGATGGAGAAATCGACGATGGTGAGGGTGGTAATGATCCATTTTGACAATAAAACTGATTTGAATAATTAGCCATCACTCAATGGTGACTGAAGTAAAAACGAAAAGAGGATCAATCAATAGAAGCAATAGCGTATTTTGATATAAAGGTACTAATGAAGTAGACGCAGAGAACTTAGATGTATTTGTACTTCACTTATGAAGAGTGCATATTTCTATTCATTTTATTTTTAAATAATTATATAGAGATGCATCTGTCTTATCTTTCTTTACATCCTTTTTCTGCATTTCTTTCTCTAGCATCTCCACCTTCCCTCTTAGAATCCAAATCAAGTTCTATATTTGAAATTTCAATTCTTTTTCTTCTTATTTTTGTGCTCTCTTTCAAGAAAATAACTTTATATTCATTTATCAAATATAAACATAAATATAGAAAAGAGAGAGAATACAGATGGGTTGTCTATATTCAGTGACACAAAAACACGAACACGCATACAAAACATCGTTTGACGGATAAGCAAACATAATCGATAAATATCGAACGTACGGAAAGAAAAAGAACCAAAGGTATGCAGTATATAGAAAAAATCTTTAGTAAAAAAAATCAAAATTGTGTAGTTAAACCCAATAACGAGATTGTGTTAGAAAGTAATAGGGTGGTGGCTAATACCTGACCATGACAGTGTTGTTATTTTTCATGGACCATAAATTACGCAATTAAAAATGCACCTATTAACAACTAATATATACAAAAAAAGATTCATCGACTAAAAATCGCATAATTTGAAAGAATAATTCCAAATTTATATAATCAGTTTTACTACAGTTATTAAAAAAGAAGAAAACTAATAAAATTGAATTATTAATCCGCCCTGAAGTTTTTCGAAAAACGCTTACTGAAACACCCATATTTTACAAATATTATTCATGATACTTATTGTTTACTGGTGTACAAATGTTTGTATCTAACACTATTTATCTCAGAATTTGATCTTTTTTTTAGGCAAAAAATAAAACGACGATCGTATATCGTAATATTAATATTATTCAAACATTTGCACACTATATATAAATTATAGAGATAAAAACTTTGTATGAAACATACGTGTTCATAGAATATTGTTTTCTAATGTTAAATGACCGTACAAATCATATGATATGCGTTTTATTCAGCATAAAATAGTATTTGTGTTTTGTTATTATTGTTTTTAAAAAAGGTAACCTTCGATCATACATGGGCTTTCTTTGCATAATATTTTCAAAATGATAATGACCATACATATATTTTGGCATTTAACACATCAAAGTATATATACACGAACACATTACTACTACAAATACTAATATAAAACAATGTGTCATTTTAAACTTTACTAAATTAATCGTCGAATAATTAAGTTATATCGTAGGAGTTGTAGGAGATAAAATAATAAAAAAAAATGGGCTGACATCTATTGTTTTCATATAGTTTTCCTCTTGCCTGTTGTCATCACTAAAGCTTCTTTTCCAGGTCACTCATTTATATTTTCTTCCGTTTGATGAACACAAATTATATTTCAACATTTTTTTATCGAATATCATTGATGTCGCGCATCTAATCTAACGGCAATTTTAAAAACTTGGCTAAAATTATACGTTCTTCTTTTTTTTTCAAAATACCCGTACAAAAACGATCCAATTTTTTGGGTCAGATTCAGATGATCTGAATCTAGATAAATGACTTAAAAAATTGGATCGGTTTTGCATGGGGCAAAAGAAGGTGAATTAAATAAATTTTTTAGTTTTAACTACGTGACGTATACTATATGATATATACAGTGGAATATAGTCAAACTAGGTAAATGAACACTTTCAAATAACAAGTCTATTTCTAGAATCAGAAATTCGTGAAAGAAATGTGGCTCTACAATCGGGCATTATGACCTTTAGCACATAAATTCATTTTTTTTTCCTCTCTCGAATATATTTACTTTCATTCCTTTTTCATAATTACGAATATTTTTTATTGTTTAAAATAGATACTGTGTTAGGAAAAGAAAATAATATGAAAAAAGCATTCTAGGGCATCTATTGAAAAGCAAGATTTTTTTATTAATAGACAATCTATTGTATCAGCTGAGACTGTGTGCACTGTATTATGAATATTTTTCTTTTTCTTTTCTTCTTTCCTCATTTTCATATGTTTTGTTTTCTATTGAAAGGGTTTGAGTGCTTTTTTACGCACGTTGTCACAATGACGTACTATGGTTAATAAAAAAAACGTTAGTATTAACATAAATTTGCTTGATCAACGGAAATAGTAGTCTCTCTGTTAAAGAACTTCAGTATTTTGTTCTGAGTATATTTTAACTGACTACATAAAATATGAGAGTTCTAAAACCTGACTATACTCAAAAAGAACCTATATAATATGTTATTTAATTTACTAATGTTCAAAGTAATGGAAACTAATCTTATCTTAGCATATCGCAACCGGCTAATTGAAAGTATAATAAGGAAAAAAACACAACATATTTTTATTATAGACAAAGTGATATGTGTTTTTTTTCCACCTAAATGTCACTAAATGAAACAAGAAGCTGCTCTTTAATTTAGTCATCAAATTTCCCAATGATTTTTGACACTCCGTCGCATAGCGTTTCGATTTTTATTTCTCCTAGGTTACTGTTGAATATGATATTCTTTGTTATCTCCAATACATAGTTAGAAGAGTACAATACCTCGAAAATTGATTACATACATACACATCAATACTATTCAAATTTCACAGAATATCAGTATCAAATTTTTTCTTTTAATAATCATATGAAAAAAAACAAGAAATACACACGTAATTATTATTTTCATACTGTTATGGGTGATTGACAGACAGTTTTGATTTTTTACGATTGATTGTACAAATACGTTTATTTTTTTTTCTCGTTCGTACGTGTTGTAAATAATGGAACACACACTACTAGAGGATACAAAGAAAGTAAAAAAGAAAAATAACTCAAGTTTTGTATGGTTGTGCAATAGTTACACAGATGTTTTTGATGGTAGTGCAACAGAGAAAAAAAAATCTATATCGTGACACATTGAGTTGTTCGTTTTTATCTTTTTTTTCTAAGATCAAGACACTGTCATTCTTACATTGTCATCGTTCAAATAACTAATTATTCGTTTTCATTTACCAAAAATGAACGACCCACTATGTATGGTACACAGAGTCCATTCATTTTCGTAAATAAAAAGATACCTTTCTTATCGAAGAGTGAGTCAATATACATTTTTTCATATGTTTCTGGGTAAATTCATCATAAAATCAGCTGCAAAGACACTTGTTCTAATTTATATTTGTTTTCTAGGGGTAAACACAAATGAATCTGATTAAAATAGCAAAATCATTATGATTTATATATCGAAATGTATAACCGTTGTGTGATCCAATTTTTAGGATAGGGAAAAACACTTACAGCAACGGTCTCCTTACTATTTATATCGCTACTTATAAAATGACTAGGAAAAGAGAGATTAAAGAGTTTTTCAAATAAGACACGATATGACAAGCAAAGAGTGCATTATAACTAATCGCCAAAAATATCAAAATGTCACAAGAGCATTTCTTTTTTCTAGAATTAGTTTACTAATCTAATCTTCTTTTTCTTTTTTCAATGTGAGTAAATAGTAACATGAACTTAGAAAAAAATAGAATAGGAATAAAGTGTCCAACAGCCATTGACAGACACGATAAAACGGAAATGAGATTTTTAGCTCTTTTTCTCATAATAAATATAGTAAATACCTCTACGAAGATCGGATATCAAAGTCATAAGTTCACTATACATAAACCAGCATAGTCAAAAGGTAAATTGAAACAAATAAATTTGTTTCTCAAACAGAAAAAGTCACAGTTGCTTTTCAAGAAAACTATGTGCTATTGTGCATTCCTCTACCTCATGAAATAACAAAACTTAGTTTCTTTTGAAAACTATCTATGATGCTACTCAAACTTTCATTCAAAAGTGAATATCAACATTCAAGTAATAAGTAATGACATATATCTCGTTTTTTTCTTTTTTCTTCAGTTTTTATTAAAAAATTTCTACTTTTTTTAAAAGATCACTAAAGGCTGCTTGGTATAACTAATAATAAGCTTCATTTCTAATTTCATTACAGAGACTAGTAATGAATACGTACAAAATGTTATTGTAAATCTTTGTCGGTGTACTATGATATCCTACTTTTTCTACTAATCTTATATGTAAAACTCTTTTATTTATGATAATGAGTATACTATGCGTTGTTCTGATGTATTCTAGTTTAGAAAATTGTACTACAGGCTAACAAAAGTGTCAATGTGTTTTCACCACAGGAAACGTTTCCATTTTTCCTATTCTGTGTACAACAGATATCTACCATACACACATTTACACAAATAGAAAATGTTGAAAAATAGCAAATATTTTTTACTTTGTTTTTTCATCACATAAGCTATTAATATACTATTTAAAAATATGAGATTACAGACGTGCTATGTATCTCTAAAAAAAAAAGAGAAACAAAGAGTACAATTGAATACTAGTACTTTTTAAGTACTAGAGAAAATAGAAGACTAAAGAACGAAACACTATTTTCTATATTGGAAAAGAATCGAAAAAGAGAGAAAGAAAATCATAGACCACCTTAGGAACAATTTGCAATTGACAGATTCTCAGCTTCACTTTATTTGTGTCATCTCTATCTTTTATAGACTATCTTCTATTCTAGATGGTTCTATATGTGATGATGTGATTGTTTCTTTATAGTACGTTATACATATAAAACAGAAAAGAACATAATACAAAAATATCAATTTTTTTCTGTATTTACTTATATACTACATACTTGGGCACAGAGAATTCTGAATTTTCAAGATGTTGTTTACAAATAAGTCATTCAATTGATTTAAGTTGTATCTGATAAAGAATAGCGAGTCATTGTTTCTTAGTACCAGAATACTCTCACTAAACTCGTTTGAATGTCTCTAATACACAATAGTTTCAGCAACATGACGAAAAACTCTGATAGCGTCAGTATGAAATCATTATTCTCTAG